AAAAAAAAAGGTAACTGTTAGAATGTTTGAAATAAAAGATAAATGTAAAGGAGAAGGCAGGCTAGAAAAAAGCCATCGGGTACTTGTGTACCGCTAAGGTGAGCTACAAGACAAAATAAAGAGGTGTGGAAAGTCAAAATGCATAACTTTAACATTCGCAGCATTACCGAGTGTTGGAAGCCCGTGAACTTAAAGCCTGGTTTTGATAACATCTAAGGGACACACAAAGGTTGCAGCAATAATCCCTGCCCAAGCCCAATTCAAACATCAATAGCTAAGAATAGAAGAATTCGAAGACTCACATCCAAACCACAACCAACAGCCATTATAATTAATGAAACATATATGGATATGTGTGTGTAGGGAATCAATACATCATTCACTGACTGCTAGTGCTCTAATTGAGTAAAAATGGACTTCCAATTCGCAATCAGAACCCTAAATAAAATCAAATTAAAATTACCCAGGCTGCCAGGCAATTAGGATCCAATTGCGGCCAAACCAAACCAAACGATAAATAAATAATGACATACCGGCGGCGGCACCAGCTCCTGCATTGCAAACAAAACATTTAGGACTACGGGCATGAGGCAATCTCCAACCGAAAGGTCCAGAGGGCCAGAGGGCCGAAAATAGTCTGAAAACCATCACCAACCGAGGGCTAGGCTAGAGGGCTCGTGAAATCTGAGAGGGCCCCACAGAATCTGAAAGGGCCAAATGGCTAGAGGGCTATTGGTTTTAACCGACAGAATGATTTGAATTTTTTTTTTTTACATTTTTATTATTATTTTTTATTTACGAAATTTTTCCTGTAACTTCTATTTTTCATATTTTTTTTTAAATTCTATTTTTTTCCTATAACTTTTATTTTACAAAATTTGTAGTTTTTAACAACATTTAACAAATTATTAAAAACATTTCTAGTTTTTCATATTTGTTAAAAAAAAAACATTTAACAACATGAAACTTAAACAACATTTAAGTTGTAGTTTTTAAATAATAAATTATGTTTGGTCCTATGACCCTCGGTTGGAGACGGTTTTTTGTGATAGGGCTAAAACGAGCCCTCTAGCCCTTTGACCCTTGGTTGGAGACGGAGGCAAATATGGCCCTATACTGTTCATTAAAATATTAATATCTTAGAGGGCTAGAGGGCTAAATCGAGCCCTCTGGCCAACCATCGGTTGGAGATGGCCTAAGTATCGACCGGCAGCCATGGCTGAATTCCTTAAAATAACCAGAATTCTCAGCGGAAGTCAGGATTGAAGAGGAGTCTTCCCTGGAGAGGAAGATCAGCAATGAGAACCATAGTGACATGGCCAGAGGTGAATTGAGCTCTGTGAGCGGGCGAGCCAGCCAGCCAGCCAGCGACGAGTTATGAGAGGCATCGGCTTGGCTTCGTTTTCTCCATCACCATTCACCAAAGCCTATTAGGAGGACTTGACCGGACGAGTCGCCACAAATGAGTCCCAGTTGTCTAATATCTTAAAAGGGTAAATCTCTGTTTACTACCTCATGTTTCATAGTTTTCAACATTTAGTACATCAAATTTTTTTTTTTGTTCCAGAGTCATACCTAAAGTGTAAATTTTGGAACAATCTCATACATCCGTTAGTCAAACTATTAACTCTACCATAACTGATGACATGGCGCCCATGTGGACAATAACTGGACTCCATGTGTCATTAAAGAGTCCACATGGAATTTAAAATTTTAAAAAAAAAATTTCGCCCAAATTTAAAATATTAAAATAATTAATTTAAAAAAACGCTCTTTGTCTTCCCGACACCCCTCCACAACTCCACCCGGTTCGTCTTCCCGTCGTCACCTACTCAATTAGCCTTCCATCCGTCAAGGTGAAGCTTCCTTAGCAGCTTGCAGCGTTCAGCGACGGAGACCAATCCTACATTGGTCCACTCAAGGCTCTTGACGGAGACCAATCCTACATGGCTGCCAGTCCCACATCGCTGACCTGAAGCTTTTCCAGGTGGATCTTAACCATGGAGGTCACTTGCTCGTTAAGTTCGACGACCTAGTCATCAGAGACCTTCTCGAGTAGGCGGAGAAAGGAGACCTCGTAGGGGCAGAAGTGGTTCTGAGGAAGAAAACGAGGAAAGCTAATGCGGCAAAATGGGTGGAGATGGAAGATGCGGCCATGGATGAAGTGGGTTGGAGCTGAATCTGGGTGGGGATTGAGCAATGGGGTTTCTAGGGCTCGGGGAAGATGCCCATTTGCAATTAAAGGTGAATTTCTTTGGTTTTTTTTAAGGGTTTAGAAGTGGAAGAAAGTAGAGGAGGAGTGTAAAGAATATGGAGGGTTCACAGCAACGACGAGTACTGAGGGGTGGACGATGGTGAGGGGTTGCTGATGAATCTCAAGTCGTTGTTCTTGAAAATGGGTTCTGGAGGTTCGTGACGGTCAAGAAGAAGGAATTGGAGGCTCTGAGGTTGCAAATGCCTCTAGCTTTGGGCGATTGTGTCGATCCAGCAAAGTTCATACTAGAGGCGATATCAGAGGTGTTTTTGGTGGACAATAGAGTGGAGAGGAGCGATAGGGGTGTGTAAAGGATAGGGGTTGCAGAGGAAAGAATGGGAGGGAGGGGGTTGGGGTGAGGTAGAAGACAGTTTATGTGTTTTTTTTTTTAATTTTTAAATTCCACGTGGACCCTTTAATGACACGTGGCGTTAAGTCATTGTCCACATAGGCGCCAGGTCATCAGTTAACGACAGAGTTAACAATTTGACTAACACATGTATGAGACTGTCCCAAAATTACACTTTAGGTAAGACTCTAGGATGAAAAAAATTTGATGTACTAAATGTTGAAAACCATGAAACATGAGGGTAGTAAACAGAGATTTACCCTATCTTATATACTACTACTGAGAGCATCTCGACATTGTCGTAAAATATTTTGGGAATATATTGACAAAAATAAAAATAAAAAATTTTGACACCACTATTTCTCTTCATTTGTAAGTAATGGCTCCATTATTGCGTTTTGTAATGCATATATCATGATCAATTATTGCAACAATTGGATTAGATTTTTTTATCTCAATCTCATTCATTAGATTGTTATTTGTCTTGTTATCCTCTTACTATCAAAATGAGGTTTCCATCTCTTTCATATTCATTCTATTTGCTGCCCACATCCTTCAAACCCTAAACTACCATTCCCAATTTTAGCCCCGCGCTAGGGTCTCGATGTCACCAAGTATACATTCCAAATTATCACATAAAATTATAAAAACCTAAAATTTAGGATTCTACATAGGACAAATGAACACCCCGTTACGGAACCACAATAGCTAGATTTGGCATGGTGCTCATATTGCATAAGAGAGTTTGCAAATTCGGCTTCTTCGTTGTGTCTCATGTGTTTTGTATGTATTTTGGTATGTGTTTTGTGTGTCTCATGTGTTTGGTGTGTTATACATCTCTATCATGTGTTTTATATGTGCTTCATATGTGTTTTGTGTGTTACATGTGCTTTGTGTTTATACATCTGTATCAAGTGTTTCATATTATTCCATAGTGTTTCATAAGTTTCATGTGTCGATTTAGTGATTTTTCAATATTTATCGGAATTAAATATTTTTAGGTTAAAATGTTCATAAAATTAATTTAGGATAGTCTACACAATTTTTTTTAAAGTTAATCTAAAAAACAAAATTAGCCTAAATTCATTCTTCAATAATCTGAGGCTAAAATTTTAGGCTAGAAGGTTAGAGCAGAAAAACTATTTATAGGTTCAAACCTAAATTTTCTGAGCAAAAAATTTTAAGTTTTACTCCAATGGTTTGGAGATAGTTTTAGGGAGACAAAGATTCCCTTTTAAGTCTGTAAGGCTCACTTTACACTGGAGACCCAAGTTTTCCTATACATGGGTTTATATGGTGATTTGTTCTCAAGAAGAAAAAGGCGGCGGAGAAAACACAAAACAGTTCGTGGACGAGGTTCACAGGTTCAAAAAGTCCCAGCATGACTCGTTCTTGCCCGTCATCGCAGACGGCAGTATAGACTGTATAGTCTTCATGGGGCCACCACCGAGAACCCTTCCTTCCATTTGATCAGGCCGCTCGTCTCTGTCTCGCAGCCGAGTTCTTGTTCTCCGCCCTCTGAGACCCCACGTGGTTGAGCTCCTTCTCAAGTGGGCCGCCAGTGCCTCCGATAATAAGGGATTGACTCCCAAAGTGTGGATGCCTGGAAGTTTCTGCAACAGCTGCCCGAGTGGCCTCTATCTCTAGTTCCTCGACCTCTAACTCTACCTCTCCTCTACGAATGATGATGATGATCATAATAATTTAGTGGCTACTGATGTTGTTACCTTAGAGGATGCCAAAGAGGCTTTGTAATGCAAACATGTTGCTTCTGACAAAGCGAGGGAAGAGCACTATAATCTCATCAGTGCTCTTCACTAGTCCATGAGACTAAGTTATGCTAATGCGGCCATTTATTGGGTGGCAAAGATGCTAGAAGGAGGCCAAGAGCCTCTCTATCTTGCCCGCCAGACTCATAAGGTTCGCCATTGAAGATGTTGGGTTGGCTGACCCATCAGCACTGAACCAGGCCGTTGCTTGTCATCGGGCTTGCCATTTTCTGGGAATGCCAGAGTGCAATGTCATTCTTGCACAGTGTGTGGCTTACTTGGCATAGGCTCCTAAACCTTTCGCTGTTTATAAAGCAATAGGGAGTACACAAGTGGTGAGGGACTCTGTCGGCCAGAATGAGGGAGTGCCTCTTCATCTGAGGAATGCGCCTACCAAGCTAATGAAGGAACTTGGGTATGCACGACAATCCCTCTGCCAGTGTCACGCAGGCATATCTACCAACCTCACTTGAAGGCTACAATTTCCTCGATTGGCCAATCAGTAGTAATAGCACCTACACCAAATCCGATGGATGAGAGGCCTTTGGTTCAGGCGTCCAGGAGTTTCAAAGATGGTAGTATGATCTAGACTAGGCTGCTGGTTAGTGGTTAGCACTCATCACTGATCTGTTTTTATGGACGATGAAATCCTTATGTGCAACCTGGCATTGCATGTGATATTTGTTCATGCATATATATCTTTACAGCCACTACCACCTGACAAGTGACAATAGTTTTCAAGATGCTTGTTACCATGACAAACAATACAATTGGGACTAAGTTTTATGTTATGCATTGAATTCGATTGGCTTTGGGTTACTCCTCCAACTGGATTCAAGTTCTAGAAGCCTGCAAGTTTCATTTCTTGTTTCCTCTTGAATTTAGAAAACCCACGGTTTTCCCTATGGAAACAGTACGCGCTAGCTGAAAATTTCGGAAAATAAGTAGGGAATATTACATAGTGAACAAGATGATGCTAATGATGATATATTTGATCTTTAAAGATATCGACAGGGAAGTATTCACTATACTACCATCTCAAATGTATAACAACCAAGTGAACAAGTTGATGATGATGATATATTTCATCTTTAAAGCATGGAAGTATTCATTATACAGTCTATACTACAATCTCAAATGTATTACAAGCAGCACAGAAAATGTACAGTGCAGTTATATTAAATCTGATCTCAATGCGAAACTTGGGTTTCAATTTGCAGCCACGATCCAGATGCTCTGTGTGAACTTCTGCTAGCCTGCCCCGCAATATTTCCAAATTAACCTGGAATTTTTAACTCGTAATATAAATGAAATTTTTTTTCAGTCGCAAAAGGAATATTACTAAATAACCATATGACGGTCATGATTATTAATCAAATTGACAAACTACATATACTAATGTCATTTGGAATTTCATTTTCAAGGATACCTTTTTCACAATATATATAACAAGAAAAAATAAATAAAAATAAAAAAATAAAAAAAACAAAACAAAACAAAACAAAACAAAAAGAAGATAAAATTACAGAAGTAGCGCATTCATGCATAACTTAATAAATGATGTCTTTTAGAATCTTTTGATAGCTAGTATCTTATATTAATGGAGAGCTCGGTGACCAGCACTGAGACAAGTTTAAAACTCCTTTTGCTTTTTTTACTGGGTGAGAAAAAGAACAACAAAATTTGGGAGTTGACCAGCACTGTCACCCATATCCACTATCTATCCAATACGATTTATTTCTTGCCCCTTCCAAGACCACAAAATAGACTATTTGGGAATTTGGGAGTTGAGATTTTTATTTCTTTACTTCCAAAAATTACGGAGAACTTGGTCAAATTTTGGATTATGATATCTGCATTATAACGCATAAGCATAGATAGAAACATAAGGAGTTAACAATACCTCATTGCCTTTGTTGAGCTGAACCTTGCATAGAGTGCAGTATATTCGATTGTAATTCTCTTGTAGTACTCCGTGCTTACAGACGGGGCACCAAACTTCCTCCTTGTGCATCTAGCATTACGGCCAAAACAATATAATCAGTACCAAAGAACTGATAGTGAGGAATGATTTAGCCTTTTCTCACATGGATATAAAATATATGGCATTCTATTATTAATTTTACTACACTTTGATAGATAGGGAAGTAATTTGACTGGAAAAATAATTAGAAGCTGAGACCACAGCTGTAATAAGATGGTGGAAAAGTAAGTTATAATACTAACAAATACAGAGGAATGATTTAGCCATAGTATCAGACTTGCTGCTGCTGTAACAGAATGTTAGCTAGTATCTATGTTTTAAAAGGCTCGCCTTAGGGCGCGCCTAGGCGCCTTCTGAGGCTGGGCGTGAGGGTTGCCGCCTCTGTTTTGAGGGAGTGGGTGGAAGGCGTCGCCGGAGCCTCCTAGGCGGCGGAAGGTGTTGCTAGAGCCGCCTAGGCGCGCCTCAGGGCTTTTTTTTTTTTTTTAAACTCCCAAACCCAAATTTTGGATAGGGTTTTAACTACCTCATACCTCTTCCTTGCACCATCGTCTCTCTGCCTTTTTTTTTCTGATTTTTATTTTTTTATATAATGGATGTGTGTGCTATATGCGTGCATTGTTATATGTGTGCTCATTGTGCTTTTCATCCTCTATTATATATATATATATATATATATATATATACTTTATGTATGTATGTATATATATGTGTGTATATATATTTATAATATATGTGTGCTCAGGGTGATTATTGATTAATAATCTTCTTCTTTTTTAAATATAATATGTGTACGCTCAATGTATATATTAAAAAATTTAGGTCCCGTGAGACTTCACCTCACACCTAGGCCGGGCTATCCCTCGGACGCCTCGCCCACGGCTCACGTTTTTAATACATTGGCTAGTATGCAGGTTTTGTTCACACAGCAAGAAAATAAGCAACAGGAACAGAGAAAACAGCAAAGATCTCATATCAGTTAATCATGTCATAAGGCTTTAATTGGGTCCTACTCGATGGTCAGATCATCCATTTCAACCTTCATTTCCTGACATAGTTGGTCAACCAAGCCTTCATTTATGGCACAACTCTATGTCAGTCAACCAAGCATTCATTTATGGCACAACTTCTCTCTTTCCTTTTCTTTTTTCTTTTCCTGAAATAAAATTCTGAGAATGTTCCTTAATAAAAAATCATCTTAGGATCCATAAGCGCAAGACAGCCTGATTAAGAGCCCCAGGTTCTCTAACTCCTGATTTGAATGACCCACATCCACTGGTCATATATATTCCCGCTTGGGGCTTAACCTAGCCTTCATGAGCTGAAAGGCCTCCAATTATAAGAGATACTAAGCCGACATATATAGAACTTCCCCTCAACTTAAGTAGGCCATGTGAGACTCAACAAATGGACTTTGTACTCTTCTCACGGTATCTCCTCAACCATCTTGGTTACATCTGCCTCATGTAATCTTCCGTTTTTCAGTCAAGAGATCTTGGCTTCACAATTTACCCTTTGGATCACACCTCTTTGTGCAGGGCAAGCAAGGATGGAGCCAAAAATCTCCTTAAGTGGGGGGCAACTTATGTTAGAATGACCATATTCTTCTATCAAATGTCACATGATCTAGAAGCTCAAGGTCAGATCAAGTTTTAACTCTGGTGTAGTCAAGAAATCTAGTATAGCTTGTTGTTTAGACACATCACACGACTAGATGTGCTCTCAAGAAATATGATACTTCTAATATCACTCCAATAAAAGTTAGAAAATAATATTATCTTCCATAGTTTGCTAAAACCATCTCTGGGGGAAATAAAATTATATAAGTAGCCCTTTATAGGCAGGGTCAATGTTCATTACAACAGATAATTGGATTTAAATGAAACAATGACAACATTAAACGTATTTTGGAGTTAATCATCAGCTAAAGTGATACTCTCTCAGATGCCAACTATAAAGTTTCTTGAGTACAGGTTTTCATTAAAATATCAAATGTCATTATAAAGATTTAATCGATAATATCACTAATCATAAATTCAATGGTTATTAATTATTATGCATATAATCAAATGTGCAAACTGGATACAAATTCGTATAAATTGTTGCATGGAATACTCATAACTTATGCTGTTATACCTGCTTGTCGTTCAGTTGCATATGCTCATAAACTGCCTGGGACAAATACTCATCCTCTTCATCTTCCCATGTTTCAACACAGATTTCAGTTTCTGCAAAGGGCTAGAGAAAATTATAACCTTTGATAGTCAAAAGACTTTCTACTACAACAATTGAACTTATAACAAACTTAATTTCATCGAGAAAAAAGCACCGACTTTTTCACCTTCTTTTCTAGTTGGATGAATAGTCAGGTCTTCATAAAAGATCCTTTGCATTTCTAACAATATCTCTTCACAATCACCTTGGTATACATTTGTAAGGCCATCGTATTCCCATAACATATCATTGGCCTCAGGGACAGATGTTGAACTTCTTACATTTTCATCCAATGACGATTCCTTAATTTTTTCCAATTCAGCAGAAACTATGTCCTGGAATGCAGATTTGATCAAATCCTGCAAACACAAGTTACAAGCATCCAATTGGAAAGTGCAAACCAAATTTTCATAGAGAAAAATAATAGGAAAGAACGAAAGAAAAAATTAGGGACAGAGTGAAGACTGTGGAGTACATTTGGAATGTGATTGAGAATTTGTGGAGTGGGCAGCATTCTCATCTTCCAAAGCAACCGCATTCTGTCTTCTCGAACCCTTTTGTAACAGTTCTCTCTCAGCTACAAAACAAATTACAGATACCAATACACTTTGCTAAGCTTACATACAACACAAACTAACAAATATTTTCAAATTATGCATAACAATTTGTACAATCAAAATCAATTGGATCATAAAATTGAATCCAAGCAAGGATTAAAATTACGAAATAATAAATGAATCATAAACTTGAATTGTTCGTGGTTTGTGTGATAGAGACCTTATGTTTCCAGCTGTTACGGTTATTGAAACGAGGATGGGGTTTGAGAGGATGCCGCCCTTCTGCTGCGGCTGCGGCTGCTCCCTCCATTTCCTTTTGTCTCACCGCTTTATCTCCCTCCACGTTTCCTTCTGAGCGCTCTCTCTCTCTCTCTCTCTCTCTCTCTCTCTCTCTCGCTTATGTTCTCTTCCCCTTTCCACTCCTCTTTCCGTACATTTTTTTAATCTTCTTTATCTTTTAATAAAAAAAAAAAATTTATCTTCTTTATCTTTTAATAAAAAAAAATTAATACAAAATGTTAACGTAATTCAAATGAAGATAGTTTATGAGAGAAAAGAATTCTCCTCACTTGTTTTGGGTTAAATTCTCCTCCCTCTTTTTGGGTATATAACTAGAAGAAGGAATTTTGATAAAAACAAACTAGAAAGAAGGAATTATTATAAGTATAAAGATTTAAAATATCTGACAACTTAATAAAGCAAAACAAGAAAATGAGTTTTTTAATAATTCATGTATTTTAAGTTGGTTTTTCTTGAGGGTAAACTGCTGATTTAGTTCTTAAACTATCATCATAATAAAACTTAGGTACCTGAATTATTTTTTCAGTAAAATAAGTTCCTAAATTCATTAAAAATTTCTAATTTCATTCATACTATTATATAGGGATGGTTCGGTATGGGATCCCATATCGAAACCCTTGTCCCAATTCCCAAACCGAAATTTTCAGGAATCCCAATTTCAATACTGATGTCAAATCCAATTTTCGAGAATCCCGAAATAGTTTCGGGATTTCGGGACAAATCGAGAATCCCGAAATGGTTTTGGGCTTTTGGACAAAAATTTGACATATTATGCTTTTGGGCTAAAATTCAACATTTTATATTGAAAATTTGACATATAAGCTGCCCCAATCTGCTAATTTGTTTCTACTAATCTGTGCACAAATCTGCCAATTCAAAAGCATCTGTGCACACTGCACAATCTGCCTATTCAAAAGCAATCTGCCAATTTGCCTAATTTGTGCACAAATCTGCCTATTCAAAACCGATCTCCTTAAGCCTTAATTCAAGCAGGTAATGGAGTGGCAAGTATATATAAAGAATTATACTATATCTATATGTGACTCGTCTAGAAATAGCCTGCAAAAAGTATAAAAGAAAACATGAACTGACCTAACCTATCTACATTTGGCTCGTCTAGAAATAGCTTGCTTAAACTTTGATCTGTTCCCGCTTAAAAATGCATTCAACCAATCGTCTCAACTAAATTCAAAAGGGGCGATAAACTATGCATTTTACCCTTTAAGTTCTTGATGGTAAGCTTAAATGAGAATATATACAATAGAAAGTAAAAGAAACGCTACAAAGCAGACGGAGATAGAATTTGTTCAACTATGCATTTTACCTTTCAAGTTTGAAGAATCTTGTCGAGCATGCTCACCACACAAACAAGAAATTGTGATGGGCTAAGTTGACACAGCAAATCGACAGTACATGTACATTACATCTCGGATTTAATCCATATAGGATGTTTATACAGTCATTCATAACGGTAAATATGGAGAAGCTGGACAAGGCTAGAAAGGAGATGAATCCTACTCAGTTGAGGCAAACATAATTACCTTGTCCTTGATGTCTTTGTGGCATTGGTTTGTTTGTACACTTCTCTCTGTTAACAATAACACACCAACAAAACAACATTTGAAATATCATCAGTAATGTTGTCTACCTAATACCCCAAGTAATTCTCATAAAAAGACAAAAATTTTGATCTTGCTTAAACTTTGATCAACATTGGTAAATATGGGTCACTAATGTGACATCCACTTTATTAATAATGGCTTCCTACTAGAAGAGAATAACCTGCACGGCTCCACATATGCTATTAAACCAGAATCTGAGAGAGTATTAAACCAATCTGCAAAAACTCAAGAACCCAAGAACCTGAACCATTAGATCAATTAAATAGATTCTAATCTGTGAAACCAAACAAACCCTAATCTAGAATTCGAAAATTAAATTTCAAAAACCCTCAAATTACAAACCCTAATCTAGAATTCATAAATTAAATTTCAATCTAGAATTCATAAATTAAATTTCACAAACCCTAAATTAAATTTCAAACCCTAAATTAATTCCCATATTTATTTACCTGTGTCTAAATCTAAGAGATAGAATTGCGTGAGAGAGTCAAAGACTCTTGAGAGAGAGGATCGCGAGAGAGAGAATCGTGAGAGAGAGACCTCAGACCGGTGGTGGCTGTGACTGTGTATCGTGAAGGAAGGAGAGACATCGGTGGATGATCCGTATGTGGTGGTGGGCCGGTGAATGGCTGGCCGGAGTTGGATTTGAGTGAGACCAAGCTAAGAGAGAGACTGAGAAATGAAATGAAAGTTAGAAACTGGAGTAGAGTTAGTTCAATCCTCAACGGGGACAAACAAAGCTGAAACCTGAAAGCCTAACAAGGAATAGATGGACGGAATAGATTAATGTGAAACAATCCAATGGTTCAAATTAACGCTAATTATAATTAAAAAAATAATATATATATAATAATTAAAAATATATATTTTCAGTTCGGTATGGGAATACCAAAATATTGGAAAGGCAATCCTAATTCCCATACCGAAATTTTGGTATTTTTTCGGTATGGGAATACCGAAATTTTGGGAAAATCGGTTTGGGACATTTTTGGTTTGGGATCAGTATTTTTTTTGTTTGGTTTGGGAATTTTGGGAATTTTTTTCCACCTATTATATTCAAAGCTATTTTATCAATTTTTCGTCAACTTAAGTCATTTGACATACTTTAGAGTATAATACCGTTCTTTTCTCGCTTATAAGCCCTTAACATTTCATATAGGGTGTGTATCTGATGTCTAATTTAACCTCTAAAGTTAACTCCATAAACTATTTCTTTATGTAAAATTATCAATCTACCCTCCAATGTATATCACAAACAAGTAACGTAACTTAAATTGATAGAAAATTAAATATAGTAGCTTAGAATATAATATTAGGGATGTAATTAGTAGATTTTTAAAATTTGAAGACTGATTTTTTCTGAAAAAAAAAAAAGTTTAGGGACCTAACTTTCACTCAGGTGATAATGCAAGGACTAAATTGGCAATTCACCCCTTTCTTTATTAAGTTGTCAAATATTTTTAAATTTATATCTAAATTAATATAATCTTGTGATTAATATATATTTTTTTGTATGTTTGCATATGATTTTGTTTTTGTATTTATGGACTAGTTTTTTTATTCAAACTTGGAAATATTTTGTAGGAACTTTTAGTTTAAATCCTACTATGCCATTTAGTATCACAATCCGGTAGTATTTCTCTTCATTTGTAAGTGAGAGGTCTTAAGTTCGATTCTCACCAAAAACGAATTTGAACCACATTATTGCTAGCCTATTGTGAGACTTGACCGACCCACTCTATGACATCCCACATCACCCAGGGGAGTGATCCTTATATGTATATTCTCATCCCTACCTAGCACGAGGCCTTTTGGGAGCTCACTGGCTTCGGGTTCCGTAGGAACTCCGAAGTTAAGCGAGAAGAGGGCTAGAGCAATCTCATGATGGGTGACCCACTGGGAAGTTGCTCGTGAGTTCCCAAAAACAAAACCGTGAGGGCGTGGTCGGGGCCCAAAGCGGACAATATCGTGCTATGGTGGTGGATCGGGCCCGGGAAGTGGTCCCCCTCGGGCCGGGATGTGACAAATTTGGTATTAGAGCCTAACCCTGGCCCCGTGTGTGCCGACGAGGACGTCGGGCCCCTAAGGGGGGTGGATTGTGACATGCCACATCACCCAGGAGAGTGATCCTTATATGTATATTCTCATCCCTACCTAGCACGAGGCCTTTTGGGAGCTCACTGGCTTCGGGTTCCTAGGGGGGGTGGATTGTGACATCCCACATCACCCAGGGGAGTGATCCTTATATGTATATTTCCATCCCTGCCTAGCACGAAGCCTTTTGGGAGCTCACTGGCTTCGGGTTCCGTAGGAACTCTGAAGTTAAGCAAGAAGGGGGCTAGAGCAATCCCATAATGGGTGACCCACTGGGAAGTTGCTCGTGAGTTCCCAAAAACAAAACTGTGAGGGAATGGTAAGCCCAAAGCGGACAATATCGTGTACGGTGGTGGAGCGGGCCCGAAAAGTGATGCGTCCCGGGCC